CTCGAGATAAACATTATATATATATATATATATATATATATATATATATATATTGCACGTGCATTTATTTAAAATTAAATGGGTCGCTAAGCAGAGAGGGAAGCGACGCGGTCGTCGACGAAATTCTTGATCCGCATGATCAGTTTTTCTGATTCAGGCACTTCGGGGAAGATATAAAAAGCATGGAACATGTTTGGATACTCGATTAACTCTGCCTTTTTCCCGGATTTCTTTAACCACTCACTGTACCTTCTCTGCCAATCCTGCAGTGGATCGAACCCCGCCACCACCACCATCGTCGCCGGGAAATCAAGCCCCGAGATATCGACGGCGTTTGGCCCCGACACGTTCGCCGCCACGTGGTCCCTGTTCGTTCCCTCCGGCAGAACCGCCCTCCAGCACCAGTCCGTGCGAGGGACGGAGACCAGCGGAGCTCCGACGACGCGTTCCTCCGCCTCCGTGCGCTCCTCTCCGCCGAAGAACGGCTGGATCGCTACGATTCCGGCTAATTTCACGGCGCGAAACCCGACGGAACAAACTCGGACGGCGACGTTGTGAGCGATGTTGCCCCCGGCGCTGTCTCCGGCGAGGAAGCATTTCTTCAGATCTGCGTTATGGGGAAGAATCGTGGCGTGATTGTCGTCGAGGAACTTCAGGGCGTCGAATCCGTCGTCGTATTGGGCCGGGTACCGGTGCTCGGGAGCGTGACGGTAGTTGATGGAGATGACGTAGGCCTGGATTTTCCGGGCTAATCGGCGGCAGACTCGGTCGTAAGTGACGGAGTCAGGTCTGAGGAAAACGAATCCGCCGCCGTGGAAGAAGACGACGACGGGAAGGCTCCGGCCATCGGCGGCGTGGGGGGTGAAGACCCTGAACCAGAGATCGCGGGAGGGATCGACGGAGAAATCAGAGGAGGAGACGCCATTGAAAGGCCGGGGATTGGGAGGGGAACGGAAGTCGAAGAAGCGGAAGAAGCCACCACGGAGGACGGAGCCGTCGGGGCGCTGGGCAGTGTCGCTGAAGGTGGAGATGAGGGCGAGGGTGAACCTGGTCTTCAGTGGAATGGAGAGCTTATGGTTCGTCGGCTGATTATCCGACGCCATCTCCGAGGATTGCAGTGGAGGTTCTTCAATGGCGTTGCGGATGCGCCTTCTTAAATAATAAAACAACTCAGTTTTGGTGTGAATTTTGCTGGTCTTTCCCCCTTTAATTTACTTACTTTATTTTTCTCTACCAAATTTGTTATAATATAACTAATTAAAAATTGATTTTTTTAAATAAACACATTTTCAAATATTATCAATAAATAAATTAAAAAAAATCTTAAAAAAAAACTCTTAACTTTTCAATTTTGATCAATTTTGATAAAAAATAATGAATTTTATTTTTTTTCAAATAAATATTAAACTTTTTAATTTTGACAAAACAAACACTTAACTTTTCGACGATTATCAAAATAAACAAAATGACTGACGTGACATAAAGAGATACAAATACGTCAGATTATTTTACTTAATTTTTTTGACAATTGAAAAAAATTCATATATTTTTTTAGATTACTAAAAAAGTTCAGTATTTTATTTATAATCGTAGAAAAGTTTATGGATTACTTAGAAAGTTCAGTGTTTTTTAGATTCGTTTAAAAAATTTAATATTTATTTAACAAAAAATAAAATTCAGTATTTTTTTATCAAAATTGAAAAGTTCAGTGGATTTTTTGGAATTTTTCTATAAATTAACTAAAAAAATATGTCGATTTATATTTTTCTTTCAAATTTTTACGCGAATTTTGATGGTGTTAACCTAATAAAGATTTTTTACAAATGATATTTATATCTCCAATTTTACCACGTCAACACCACGTCATAAAAATAAAAAATAAATGGATAAAAAATCATTTACTAATAAATGCCGAAACACAATAATTAAATGGATAAAAATAAAATCAACGAATCCAATTGAAATTCTCATGTTCAACCTCCAATCTTTCTTGTAATTATAGTATTTAGAAAAAATCAAATAAAAAACCTTAAAATCTTCAAGTTTAACAAATTATAGTTAACTAAATTTTTTTTGTCAAAAAAATATTCAAACTAAATATTTTATCCATAGTAGTTCAAGGTGTTTAGGTAAAAAATTTAGAAAAAACCCCAAAACAATATCTAAACTTCTCAATTTTCACAACACAAAATCTAAAGTTTATTTTTTATCAAATAAAATCTCAACTTTATAATCTTTATCATTTTTAATCCTATTACTGAGTTGACATTCCGATATCGTGACATATCGATGATGATGTATCAAATACGGTCAAAATATTGATTTGTCACGTAAGATGTCGGAATACATGACGTAATATTATTAAAAATGATAAAAATTATAAAATTTGGATTTATTTTTTACTAAAAAATAAAGTTGGGGTTTTATTTGACAAATAAATAAAGTTTAAGTTTTATTTTATAAAAATTGAGAATTTAGGTATTGTTTTGGGATATTCCAAAAAATTTAATTCAGGTATTAATTTATAAGTTTTTTTTACCCCATTTTCCCTAATATTTATTACTAAAGTCAGTCGATTTTATTATGTACGTGCAAGTCTTAGCTAACAGCTCAGCTACCGACCAACCAACTCGTATGAAATAATGATTTATTTCTTTAAATGTATATTGAATATCTATAACGTCTTATTGCGTTTTCATTGCTTATATATTAAAAAATAGACAAAAACAGCAACTTGGGATGCGGTTCCATTAAGACAACAAACAATCCTCCTCGCTTGTGAATTTCCCACTCTCCTAACACATCATTCATACTATTTTTAGGGAAACGAAAAAAAAAACGAAAAAAATAATAATTCGGGTACCTTTCATTATTTAAAATTAGGGATAGACGTTTTTAATTCGGTTATATATAAACTAAACTAAACTGAAAAGGGAATAACTGTTTAAGTCAAATTCGATTAAAAATTGAATGATTTTGATATTTATATAATCACAAACCGAATTTAAACTTAATAAAGAATAATGAAAAAATCATATATTTTTTTAAAATAATTTCTTATCAATAAAATCAAAATTGAACTATAACCGATTCAAAACCGAATCGAATCTAACATAAAATCCAAATTGATAAAGATTTTCTGAAAGTAAAAAAATCCAACTCGGATAAAAACGAATCGAATCCATCCCTAAATATCCACCCTGTTTGATATAAGATAAATAAAAAAAAAGTTTTTAATTCGTAGAAGTCGTACAATAATCACATATTTAAGTCAATCACACACGGTCTATCCTATCTCTTTTACGCATGCTGCTGTGTCATACTTTTCGTAAATAATTAATGTTACATCACGAAATTAATTTATCATAGAAATAATGTTTTTAACACGTGAATATTCACAATCACGAGTAAATATTGAATCTTAGCGGTGAAAAAAACAATGGGTTTGATTTGAAGGATTTTCCCTCTACTGAAAAAAAAAACCATATGGTTTTAGAAGCAAATGAACCAAAAACAAAAAAAAAACAAAAATCTTAGTTGGTTTTCTTATCATTTGCAGCTTCTGCTTCTGCTCCGACAGTATCAGTGATCTTCTCTGCGGTCTCATCCTCACCTCCAAAACCGAACTCGTTCACGCGAGTCTTGTCCACTGGGTAAACCCATCTTTGGTACAAGTATATCAAGAATATTATATCTGCAATCACACCCCCCAAAAAAGAAAACTTTCATGATCCCACATCACAATTTGATCATCCTTTAAGGCAAAAGGAAAAACCCGAAAGACCCGAGTATCAGAGATGGAATTTGGAGAAGAAAAAGACTGAGAAAACTTACCGTCTCGGAAGACAGACAGGCGATGCAACATCGGCATTTTGATGACAAAGGCGAAGAGATCGTCGATGATGGTATTGAGGAACTTGTATGTCATCTGTCTCCATGGAAGATGTGCCACTGACTTCAGCTTATAGTTTATGAATAGCTGAGGGCACATCATTATAAATCCTGCAAACACAAAAACAAAGCCCATTTGAGTCTTTTCTTTTTTTGAATTCATGGAGATGGTCTCTTATTCATTCATTCATTCAGCTTATTAGGCTCTTACCGAACATGTAAACGCAGCTCGTCAGTGAAGACAAGATCCATGAATACCAGCTCTTGTGGCGTTCGTACATGAGGGAATACACAGAAAAGCACCCGACAAGAATGAATACCACATAGGACAAGTACTTCATCGCCATATCATCATACTCCTTTGTCTTGTTCTTCGCATATGACTCCCGGTCGTGGAACCTCAGCATCGGAATCCTTCCACTTCTATCAATCTGGTAAAAAGATTTTACATGACGTTTTTCCAATGTTTATATTATATCAAAACCAACAAAACATAAAAGAAATAAATCAAATGTTGTTAATGTAATAGAATGTATACCTCTATGCGCATTGCTTTCCCTATTTTCCAAAACTCGATACAGACACCGACCCCGGAACTACCAAGTATCATCCAAGACGTGTCGTTGTCGAGAAGGTAGAGGAAGATAATGAGTTGACAGATGAAGTTTAGCACGACAGACTTTGCAGACAGTCCTTCCATAGATTTATTTTTGTTCCAAAACTGAATATCTGTGCAGGAGGAGGACGGAAATGATCAGTATATATAATTCCAACGATCAGTCCATGTTATTTTGCAGAGATGGTTATACCGTTTTTGAAGGCCAGGAAGTCAAAGACCGAGTGAAATACTGAGACTACCATTGTGATGACTAGTAGGTAAGGATTTCCTTCAAGAAACACCCTCTGCAACAGTCATTATCCATCAAAATCAATACAAAGAATTCCGTTTGCCAATTCAAAGGTCAGATTCAACAAGTTCATAGGTAAGTGCAGGGACCATAAGTACCTTCAGCTCATCAGATTCACCATCGAGCATGCTTCCATAGCTACGTTGCATCTGGAAAGACTGATCAATTTGCAGAAATAGCTGCCACTTTGTCATGCTTATGGGGCTCACTTCCAGATTAAGTGGTAGTTCCGAGACAGTTTCGTTGATCGGGATCAGCTTGTCCTTCAGCAGCCAAAATTCATTGAAGAAGATTGTCGGGTAGTAATTTCCGGAGAGGGCTTCAACATGCATGTCTGCAAATCTGAAGTTAAAGTATAACAAAGAGCAAATATCCAATTTACAGTTACACCTTTTCCTGCCAAAACCGAAATCCTATAAAAAAAACTTCCGTATTACAACAACAACACTGCCTTAATCCCAAGTTTATTTGGGGTCGCCCGCATGAATTATCCGTTTCCACTCATTCTGATGTTGGGTTAGTCTTCCAAGATTTGTAACCACTTCAAATCATTATAAATGACTCGTTCCCAAGTCACCCTAGGTCTATCCCTATCTCTCTTCCTCTCTCCTGTTCCTATATTATCTATTTTTCTAACACAAGAAAAATTAAATAAACACAGGAAGGGAAAAATCAAAATCCCCACGTAAATATTTTTTCTGTAAAAAAATTTGAAGGATACAAGGAGCGATATTTGGCGGCACACCATTCATTGTGTAGCTGCAAAGAAATTGAAAATAATTAGCACTCCTTCACCAATGGAAAAAAGCTCCACATACCTTAAAGACAACAATCAAATGAATTCAATCTGATTTCTGTTTGGGAAACTCTACACCTGAGGTCAAAGCCACAACTTACCGAGTAAAATCATCAACCAGGCTAATTGTGATATTCGGTTTCCAGAATGATACCCATTCCACAGGGCCCTCGTCCTTGAGATCCGAATTATTATTATCCAACTCCTGTGAAGTTTGCTTTCCATTAGTATATAACTCATGTGTGCCACTACCCCATCAATAATAAAGCAGGAACCATAGAATCAGACAAGAACTTAAGACCTTCAGACCTTAGTTTGTCAATTCATATCATATCCTTTAATCACAGTACCAGTTTCTACTTTCTATATCATCCTATAAGGGACTGTTGAGATCAATAGCAATAAAAGTATGCAAAAAAAGAAAAAAAAGAAAAACTAACATTGAAGAGATGAATAAAAGCAAACAAGTCAGAAGAAAAAAAAAACAATCCAAGGATCAATATTGCATTCCAGAGAAAAGAATAAAACAACAGCATTTATGCACACGTTCTAGAGCCAAAATGAAGCAAATTCACCACAAGAGATCTTGGTAGGAAAATGTTAATGTAAATCTAAATATTATTTAACTTTTAAAATGAAAGTATTTAGAGAACTCATGAGAGGGGACTGGAAAGGTGAAATAGATGTACAATGAACCATGGTGACAGGGAGGAAGGCTGGACTTTGTAAAAAGTGCAAGCACCAAGCTGATAACATTGACACATCATAAAATCCATTTCAAATATAAACATATATCTCAATACAGATATAAAGAGATGAACCTAGTACAGGAAAAGATTGGTTGAAGTTTTAGCAGGATTTTGTTACATAAATAGCAATTCTCCGCTCCGTAGGATAGCTTTGTGAGCAATAATGGGGTTCAACGAGACAACAAAGAAAATGCAAAGAAACAACTTCAGACATGAATAAAAATGAATGCAGACATGGAATACAACTTTTCTTTCTTTCAAGTTAATTTTTCCTACGGATAAAAAAGGCTTCTCCCCAGGGGCATACCTCAACTTCCGGTTTGGATTCGGTAGAGCCTGTGGGATTTCCCAACAGGCTCTTCTTCTTATCAGCTTTTGGCTTTGGCAAGTAAGTCACAACAGCTGAACAGTTAAAAAACAGGAAATTAGTGATTAGAGGAATATGGTGATTAACTATAGATAACAGATCTATTTGCCTAGAAACGGGCATTCTTACGTTGTGTACTGCCAAAACTATTAAGCGGTTGGTACTCAGGATCACTAGGATCGATAGGGTAACCAGATCGAGCAAAGAAGACATGGGCATATAGACTCCCATTATGCTTCAATGCCTGAAAAGAGACAAGCTAAGAGCTCAACGAAACTGATAAAAGCAGGTAAAAATCAGTCTAATAAAACCATTACAGCAAAAGCATAAGAATTAACCTGTTATATATAACACCTCTAGAAAGAGATTACCTCTGATGGATGATACTTCAGTGATAGGGTCCTGGTACTCTCGGGCTTCCACACAGCATAAGGGATGTTTGTTTCATGCCAAACAAGAGCACCTTCATTGCCAAAGTCATTGAACTTCGCTCCTTGCGAAAGATACAACCACATATCCTGAGGAAAACATGGATAGAGTTTAGAATTGACAATACAATCCTGCAACTAAAACGTTAAACCTTGTTCTACAAAGTCACAGACTAATCAGAGAACCCTGATCACTAAAGGTGCCAAAAAGAAAAAAAACAAATCCAGAACCCAACCCATCGTACAAAACCGTGTAATTACCACGAGTACATCGTTTGAATCAATATGAAAAATCGTAGTCTATAAGCAAAAGGTATACAAAAGAGGTAATTGGAAATTGTTGAAATCATGCAACGGGCATATGTTGAAGTACCCACAAAAAAAAAGAATCAAACTTATCGAGGAAACGAACTTGTCTCAAGCATAGAGTAAGAACAGCAAAAATCCCTACAATTCATCGAAAAACAAAGCTTCCGTCGGAAAATTACCAAGGGTTCACCCTTCTGGAAGATATTGGACATGAGCTGGGAAGGATCCGCCGGCCGTTTCGGAGTGAAGAACTTGGAAGCAAAATACCAAAATACGGCGATCCTAATGATACCGGTGATAGTCTGCCCAAATCCACCGCCTTGTTGCTGTCTCCGCTGCGCCGGACCTCCGCCGCCACCTGCCGCTGTCTCCGCCCCCGCCGCCGAATCTCCTGCCGGCGGCACCATATTTGCAAATTGAGAAGTCCCTTTCGTCGCGGTAGATTCAAGCACGGAGAGCGATGCAGATTCGCTCGAGTTGAAAAAGCAGAGGCGAGGAGAAGGTTATGAGTTTTTTTTTAAATAGAACAAAAATTGAGATAAACTCAATAAAACCAATCAATTGTGTTACTTCAACACTTGATTTTAAATTTATTAAAAATTAAATAACTATTAATTTAAAAAAATATCAAATAAATAATCAATTAGTTTTGATAAAAAAATATAAATGTTTAAATCTTATTTTTATTTTACTTTAAGAAATATAAATGATCACCTTATATAATTAATTTCAATATAAATTACATACTAGATAATAATTCAATTACTAATTTTTAAAAAAAAATTAAACTGATAGTTCACAATATTTTAAATATAAAATTTGTAATTGATAAAACATATTTACTGGTAAGTATTATATGATAAATTTTATATAAATATTAAGTTTTTTATTTATAAATTTAGAACTGTATAATTTATATATATTTTTGTTTACAATTATAGATTTAAAAAAATTAGAATAAATATTTTTTAATAATCTAGATAGTTGGTTACTTTTTTTTTCAAAATTAATAGTCAATTTTTTTATAATAAATTTAAAAATAAAAGATTATTTTTTAATAAATTATATATATTGATTGTTTTTAGTTTAAAATTGATAGTTAGATGAACTTTTAAAGTATATATGAGTTTTTTTGTTCAAACAATATAGTTGATATTGTTTTTCCAACTTATCGGAAAAAGATTTCACAAATAACTAGGCGTGTAACTATAAAACTGCAATAAGCCCTCTGTGTTCTAATATATTTACAATATCACCCCCACTTTAAGAAAAGGATCAATATAACACCCCTACATTTCACAATAGGGGAAAATTTAATCCAATGCGCTTCGGCGCCCACGTTTTGTTTCCGGGTCGACCCGGTTCGAGTCCGCCTGTCTTCTCCCTCTGCGAGTTCCTGCGACTGCAAAGTCGTTACTTTTCCGGGAAAAATTTCAGCTTTTCCCGGGTATATATATGCAGTGCTTTCAATTGTTTGGTTTGATATTGCTGCGGCCACTTTGTTGTTTCCGGTTCCTTTTAGATTTTTTTTTTAGTCTAGAGTGGGATTCTTGTAACGGGTAAGAAGCTTTTTGATCCAAAAAAAAAAAAAGATGAAGCTTTGCTCTTATGTTTGCTGAAAATGGTGGGTAGGAGCGATGGCATTCATATCAAACAAAGATACTTCCTGTCATAATTTCATTTCAAGTGTTTGCTCTCATACTGTTTCTGGGTGATGATACGCCATGTTCAGTGATGGCCTTTCGAGCTCTGATTCCAACGGTGGAAAGACGACAATTTCTGAGTTTTTTTCAACACATTCGGTAAATTTCTACACATCCAAGCGTTTTTTTGCCTTTACTTGCTTTGCCCTGCTTAGATTTGTGATAATCTTACTCTGATGTTTGTGAAATTGATCCCTGCCACTCTTCAGGGGCAGATCTATTCAGTAGTCATTGATCCCTACACACTTGGTAAATTCCTCCACAGTTCATTGATTTCGCTGCTCGATTTTCTCAAACCTCTTAATGGTGAGAATATCCCCACATGACATTCTTTGCAGAAAAATGGTGTATATACTACTTCAGTCTGCTACAATAAGATTGCAGAAATGTTACCAAGAAAGATTTGGAAGTGAAACGATTTGATGAACCAGTCCGGCCTCTGCAAATGATGTAAAGTGAAACTTCGTTTTTACGTAGTTGGTAATTACATGCTGATAAAAAGTTTACGAGAAATCTATTGAATTCGTGGCTTGCAACTCGAATTAGGAGATGTAAGAGGAAACAATTGAAGCAATTCTGGTTCTGCATGCCCTGGTTTAGATCTTGGTGATGGATGCAAGTAAAAGCCTCTTTCTCGAATGGCTTTCTCCTCTTCTTCGGAGTTTGGTGTATATATATCTGATTCTGCTTTCTCCTCTTCCATTAAGGACAAGGTGGAGAACAAAGAAGAAGGGGTGCCCACAGGACTCTTTAAAACGGTAGTAATATTACCTGATTTAGACGATAGTGTTGCACCAATGGCTTTAAAACTTGGAGGAGGCTTGACAATCTCTAGCTTTGGCCTCATACATTGCCTTCTTTCATGAAGCTTGGAAGCTGGCTTCTTTGGTGTGGCTGGTTTTTCCACTCCTACCTCTGGCACTGCAATGTTGTTATCTGATGGACCCGTTAGCCGTTGCACGACATCTCTGAAGGTGTTGGTGTCGGTTTGAACAAACGTTGTGATGGGCTTGCAGGTTGCTACATTCTGACTTCCCGGATTATCCATACTTACAGTCTCTCTTTCTTCCTCCCCCTCAAAAGTTCAACTTCCAAATGTTTTGGTCTCTTGACCTGCGACAATTTTCTGTTTATGCAGTTGGTCAGTGTCTTATGTATGGAGGGAATAAGACGAGTTGAGGAAGTCGGTCCTATCAGGAGACTCAAGAACGTGACTCTGGTTTGTGACCTCTCCTTGCCTCTTTCTAATGGAAAACCTAGACGGAGAAAATCCATCACTATAGTCTCTCCCGTTGTTTGTTGTTCTGGTTCACCCTACGTTCATAAAGCTTCTGAATTTCTCACATTTTAGCTGCGTGCAGACATGGAATGGCCGGTAATAATCATGTTGAGCTGTGTTTGCCGGCAATATGCATAGAAGAAAGACTCGAAAGATAATTGAGAAGCAAAGATGTACCTGAAGAAGCGGCGACTGGAGGTGAGGAATGCCAGTTTCCAAGGCAATTCGAGAAACGTGTGTTCAAGAAACAATTAAGACAATGGGGAACTTAAAACAATAGGGGAAAACAGGAGGAGGCAGATGTAACCAAAAAAAAAAACTGCAGGTCTTTAAGTTCATAGCTCTTACAACTCAGACCAAGAAGAAAAGGAAAAGCAGTTTTGAGGAGGAAAGAAAGGAGAGAAAAATGGGCAAAAAAGGTTTTATCTCAAAGGAAGAAGGAAAAGCCCTTTCTTTGTTCTAACCGTTGGATTTGGTTTTTGGTTGGTCAAGATGAAATTGATCGTGAAGAAATGGTAATGAACATACCGTTTCGGTTAGGATGAGAGAGAGAGAGAGAGAGAGAGAGAGAGAGAGAGAGACGTCAGAGCAACCTCTCTCCTAAAATATAAATGAGACTGTTTTTGACAGCCTGACTCTGTCTTTTGGATGGTTCTTCTGCGTCTTTGTCCTAAGAGTGTTCTGTTGTGAAGAACATTAACAGAACTCACAACTGGTTTCCCACCAGCCTGTGAGCATCCCTTGTGTCTGGAATCAATCAGTTCATTGGACTTTCTGTTGCAATGTATTGAAAGAACCACACATTCTTGTTTCCGTAAGGAAACCCAAAGAACCACATGATACATCAACAAGTTCAACAGTAAAAGAAACCAGACCTGTCTTGGCTTGGGTTAATGGACACCAAAATTTGTTGTATAAACCATGACTTGCTCATATTTATTGATAAAATCCAAGATTTAGATTTAACAAGACGAAGTGTATATATATATATATATATATATATATATATATAATCCTCCG